AAAGGATTTATTGATAATCTTTTTGTTGCCTTAAACTTCTTGTGAAGTTTTAAATATATAAAATCCCTTTTTAGATACATTTTAGATATGTGAAGTCTAAGAGTAGAAGTGTACTATAAAATAAACTAAGGACATTATATGAAAACATGATATAGGATATTAAAGAAATTTTAAGGAAATCTGGCGGTTAACTTTAAATATGCATTTTCAAATGTTTATACTTGTATTTGTAGGAGTAAAACAAAATATATAAAGAATATGAATCATACATTAAAATAGTTGTCCATGGGCCAAATACAGTTCTGAAATGTGTTTAATCTGTTCCACACAGTATTTTTTTAAAATTTGAATTATTTGCCAACACTTATAAGTAAGGAGATTTCACATAAAATTTTGTGTGTATAGCTTATCATGAAAATGTTAGAGCAGATTAAAGGATGCTCCACTTACAGAATCAATGTGGGTTTTTTTGTTTGCATACTGAGGGCTGTCTTCTGGCTCTGTGCTTTGGAATCACTAGTGGTGGGGCTCGGAGGACTGTGTGTGGTCTTGGGTTTGAACCGGGGTTGACCCTTGGTCGACAAAGGAAGCTCTCTATACTCTGTCATGTCACTTTGGCCCTAGGATTTTATACCTCTATTTTTCAATATTGATTGTCCCACATTGAAAGCCAAATTCAGTGGTGGAAGAGTATAGAATGTGAGTTCTGGAACCAGACAGAATGGCTTCAGATTCTGCATCAGTAATTTATAGTTGTGTGACTATAGACAAATTAATCTCTGTTCTCAAAAATGATGAAAACATTTTTGAAGATGTTAAGATGATGAAATTAGGAGTATGCACAGGGATATAGAGTTGTGGGGCGTATATATTTCATGGATCATTGTTAACTATAATTATTACTTCATTTTTTTTGTTTTGCTTTTTGGGGGCCACATCCAGTGGAGTGATCCCTGAATGCAGAGCTTATTCCTGGCTTGCACTCCGGAATCACTCCTGTCAGACTCAGGAGACCAAATGGGATGCCAGCTTCATCTAGGATCAGCAGCCCACCCACTGAACTATCTCTCTGGCCCTGTTAACTAGTATTAATACTTTTTTGTCCTCACCCCACTAGGTATTTGACTTTTGACATTTATTTTCCATAGTTTGGGATTTGGTTTTGTTAATATATTTACTCATTTGGTAAGAGTAATTGATAAGATTTGTTATCAAACATTTGCTCTCATCATTCGCTATCATCAAATATAGTTTGCACTCCTCAGAGTTTCTTGCTTTATATGTATCTGTATATACACATCTGTAGCGGTCATTGATAATACTTTAGATATGTGGATTTAGGATTTATGAATTAGCTTTAGGATTGCTAACATGTAATGGAAAAGGAAGTTCTCTGCTTTCTTAGCGTTGCTATTGCCTACATCTTGGCAATTTATTTTATTTTATTTTATTTTTTTGCCACAACCCAGTTAATCTCTTACTGTGAATGTGGATGGGTGAGAGTAGGATAGTTCTGATGATAATTAGAAAATACAAAATTTATTTCAAAGTGAGAGGCTTAGAAAATGAACAGGACAAAGGACCATTTTATGTGCAAAAAGGTTGATTAAAAATTTGTATGTGTATGCACTTATCTGAAATCTTTTCTTCCATAAGTGGAGACAATATTCTATAACACGGGAGTCTCATTTGGTTGTACCTGCTTTTCAAAATTTTTACTTTTCATTCACTCCTCCCCCCCCCCCCCCCACCTTCTTGGAGAGCCTGGCAAGCTACTGAGAGTATCTCGCCCACACGGCAGAGCCTGGCAAGCTACCTGTGACGTATTCAATATGCCAAAACTTTATAACAACAAGTCTCACAATGGATACGTTACTGGGTCCGCTCAAGCAAATCGATGAACAATGGGAGGACAGTGCCTGTTTCTTCACCCTATCATTGAAATCCTCTCCCAGCACTTGAAATTTCAAAGATTATGTTGCTGACACTGGTGGATGCAAATAAGTGTACTCAGTTTAGCTTTTAGAGATTCTGATTTGGGGAAGTCATTCCTACTTTATAGTCATAAGACAGTGTTTAAGTAGGGGGCAGGAGATGCAGCACTGGGTTTAAGGTGCTTGCTTTGCAGTTTGATACTCAGTGCAGCCCGGTCCACTGAGTACAGAGCAAGGAGGGATTCCTGAGCACAGGGCCAGGTATGACACCTGAACCGTGAGCTGGGAAGAGCCCCAGACAATGCTGGGTGTGGGCCAAGCCCCTTCTCTTTCCAAATCTAGGTATAAGCCCTAGAGATGGATGAAAGAGCTGCATGCATCCTTTGCATGGTATATTCCCAGCCTCAATCTTCTGCAATGCCTCAACATAAAAATCAAGAACACGTAGGAGGGATACTAGGATCAGTGGTGGTGGAGAATGGGCACTGATGGGGGGATGGGTAAATCGATCATTGTGTGACTGGAACGCAAGTACGAAAGTTTATATCTCTGTAACTGTACCCCATTGTGACTGACTAGTAAAAAACTGAAAAAAAAAAACCCAAGAACAAACAAAAAATGTAAGTGAATTTCTGGAAGTTCAAAAATAGTTTCATTAGAAAATGGAACACAACTTCTTTGTGTAACACTTGACACCAGTGTGTTCCACCAGTGGCTCACACTTTAATATGGATTAATTAACAGAAATTATTGCATCAGTATTAGCACATTAAACTGAAATTGTTTTTAGACATAAGGATTGAGGAAGACCGTCCAGATGGTTAAAGAAAATATAGTGGTTCTTTATCCAATCTTGCCACTGTAAGCATAATATCAGAGGCAGAAAACATAGAGGAGATAAAGATATATTTGGATATACAAAGGTGAAAAAGTTACTTATATCGCAAAGCACCATATAAATTGAAGACAGATGCATTCTGAGAAAACCATATGTATCTTGTGACAAAGGTTTAATATCTTTAATATTTAAAACATACTTACAAATCACAAAGACATTATAATAATAAACTTCATCCACAAAACAGTAAACCAATCTTAGAGAAAATGCATGAAGTCTTCAAACACCCTCACTCAGTAATCTCACTTGTTACCAATCTCACTTGTTACCAGGGAAAGGCAATTTGATTTCACAGTATTATACCCCTGCTCCCCAAAATTGCCTATTCTCGTCATTGGTGCAATTAATTTTTTTTATTTTATAAGGTACTTCATAATATTTGATTACATTTAATATTCAAACACCAATCCCACCACCATTACACCTTCCCACCACCATATTTGGGATGTTTCCATCCTAAACTCCAATCCCTGTCCCAAAGTAGAACCGAAATAATGTATTTTGTATTGTTTGCTCTGAATAACTGCTGAAAATGCTACAAAAAAGTATCCATAGAGGAAAGAGTGTGAAGATTGTTCTATTTTGGCAAGGGCCATTAAGACCTTTTACAAGATATCACTAGCATGTTGTTAAAGGTTGATCCTTGTGTACTTTTTTTTATATATATCTGTAAATATATATGTGTTTGTATGTATATGTACATATATGTGTGTGTATATATATACATATATATATATTTCCCTCTAAGGTTGGTTACCTACTGTTTGAACTCCATAAAATGTGGTGTGGTACTCTTGGAGAATGGGTAGGGTGTGTCTTATGATAGGAATAGGTTCACTCGTGCATGAGGCTTGGCCCAAGCGTGTGGGGAGCGGCTTTGAGTGTGGTGGTGGTTGGGTTCTGGAGGTTTTTGGCTACCGGAGCTGAGTCCTTTGGGGTGGGGAGGGCTGTTACCCACCCCCCTCTGTGGCATTCCGAATGAAACAGGCTGGCATGGGGTCTGGTGGCATGGCTATAGCGAGCGTTATGTTATGCTCCCTTCTGGGAGAGAAGAACATGAGATCTGAAATTGGTGGTTTATTGTGTACAAATATTTGTAACGAATAACTTAACAAAACTTACCAGAAATCTTATTTTTTGATGCATGTTTTGTTCTCTCAGTTATTGAGATTTTTGAAGGTAATAACCATTGCTGTAAAAGGTGATGAGTCTGGGGCTGGAGTGATAGCACAGCGGGTAGAGAGTTTGTCTTACACGCAGCCAACCCGGGTTCGATTCCCAGCATCTCATATGGTCCCTTGAGCATTGCCAGAAGTAATTCCTGAATGCAGAGCCAGGAGTAACCTCTGAGCATTGCCAGGTGTGACCCAAAAAGCAAAAAAAAAAAAAAGATGAGTCTATTTGTAATATTTATAGCTATATAATGAAACTAGGGTTTATTAGAACTGATGAAATTGCCATATTCTCATGGGAAGACAAATATGTTGCATATAAGTATATTTAATATAGTTAATCACATTAATTTTTTTTGTGATTTTTGTATGGTTATGGGTCCACAACTATAGTGTTTAAGGGGCTTTTCTGTGCTTGCTGCCCAGGGATCCCTCCAGGTGGTGCTATATTTGTGTATATGCTGGATGCTGAGCCAGGACATCCTGCATCCTAAATACATGTTCCACCCATTGGGCTATCTCTGCGGCCCCCAAATACGTACATTTTAAGTGTCCATATCAAAGACATATGCACTTACATATCTTAAGTGTATGTAGTTACACATATATCTTGTTATATTCTAAGTGTATAGCTGTTGTGAAGAACATTTGCTGTATTTTGAAAGGCTTTGACAGTAAAACAGAAGGATGTTGTAAATATGGAAATTATTTAACTTGTCTTTTAGTGCAAACGCTTGCTAGAAACAAATGCATTTGAATATCAATGTAAAGATTACCTTACCCTTTTGGGGTGAAATTTTGCCAATGGACATTTTTTCCTGCTCTCTTACATTGTTGCCTATGTTACCGTGTATAGTCAGAGTCCCTGGAGCCTTTGGGAAGGTTGGTAAATGTCATGTGGGTAAGGCCTATTTAATCGCTTCAGTCTGGTATTTACTGTCAGTCATAGAAGAAAGAAAAAATAATTATCCTTTTTCTCTGTATGTTCACTTCCAGGTGACACTGTCCACTTGCCACAATGTATCACTCTTTATCTGAAACGAGACATCCTCTGCAGCCAGAAGAACAAGAAGTGGGCATTGACCCATTGTCAAGTTACTCAAGCAAGTCTGGAGGTAAGTGTTATATGTAGACATACACGGAAGTTCCTGTGTGTATATACCCGGGCCGGGGAGGCCCACTTAGCTCTGCTGAGGTGAAAGTCTTTCAGGGATCTGAATGGGGCAGGCAACATGAAGAACATTCGTGTGAGTAGTTGTCCAGCATTTGAAGTCACACAGTTTCACAAAATAAAAGGCTTATTAACAGAGGCATTAGACAAATATTAATCTGCTGTCTTTCTTCCCATATAAAAATTAAACAATTACTTCAGCTCATGGTATTGGAAACCAAAATGGTCTTTGTCAGACATTCGTGTATAGTTTAGGTAGCACAGTTCTTGTTTAGTAGTATTTTAGTTGATGTTCAAAGTTACTACATTACCGCCAAAGTGTTGACAACCCTCCACCACCTTCTTCTTTTAAATGGAATGATCTGAGGTGAGGTTATCTGTTTGAGGTGAGGTTATATGGTGCTGACAATGAATGGTTTCGTGTATGCATTTACTTTACCTCACCACCACCAAAGTGGCCCGAACTGTTCACCAGTGTCTTTGTGTTATTTCTAGTTCACTTCATCATTGCTCCACCCTCGCCCCTCCCTAAGCTGTTATAGTCATTTTGGATATCCAGTGCCCAGGAATTACTAATTGTCTATATCCTTGTTTTCTCTGTGTGTATGTATGTATATAGATAGATAGATAGATAGATAGATAGATAGATAGATAGAGATATATTGTATATAGAGAGATGACATATATGTGTGGGCTGGACCAATAGCACAACGGTAGAGCATTTGCCTTGCACACGGCCAATTTGGCCGATCTGAGTTCGATTCCTCCACCCTCTCTCAGAGAGCCCGGCAAGCTACTGAGAGTATCTCACCCGCACGGCAAAGCCTGGCAAGCTACCCGTTTTGTATTCGATATGCCAAACACAGTAACAAGAAGTCTCACAACGGAGACATTACTGGGCCCGCTCCAGCAAATCGATGAACAACGGGAGTACAGTGCTATAGTGCTACAGTATATACATACGTGTATATATAGTTATATGAGTAAGATTATCTAGCATTTGTCAAATATCTTAAGTCCAAGCAACTTGAGGTTAGTGTTGCAAAATAAGACTAGTCTGGTTTAACAGTCTACCTTTTAACAAGTTCTGTTTATTTACAAATTTTGCCGATAAATAAAATTGTTGAATCGCTGTTTTTCTGTGATTTCCTGTTATTTTCTGTTTGCTAATACTATGGTATTTTAGAAGTAAGCACTGAGTTTGGAAAATCTGAAATGTTATCCCTATTTTAAAAATTTTACAAAATATTTAATAAAATATTTGATAAATCGTTGAACCTTGGGTAACTATTTTAAATATTTTACTCATCAGGATTGTAAAGTGTATTTTACAATATTAGAGATTCTTTTGTTTGTTTTATATAACCTTTTAAGTTGATATGAACATCTACCATTAACTCATGCCTTGGGGAGTTAAGAATATAATTAATTCCTCAGAGTGGCTATTTCTTCAGTCTACAAACTCATAACTTTATAAAATGTTTCTTTTTGATGAATCTTAAATATTTTTGTGCCCCATAAAAACTATTATTGTTGTTTTTAATGAAAATAATATTTTTCTGGAACTTCCTTGTAATTTTTTTGTTTTTGTTTGCCTTTATTAAAATTATCAAAAAGACTGATGTCTAACATTTCAAAAATATGAAGAAATCATTAGTGTCCCATTTTAATTCAGTTTTTAAAAATTTCGGTGGTATAATAATGCTATATTTTATAGTGATTTTTTTAAAATGTCTTTAAGAAGCACTCATAGTTAAAATTAGTTTGCAAGCACTTATCAGTGGGTTTTTAAAAAAATGAGTTAAGTTTTTGTGCTATAAAGTATCTAATCTAATAATAGCACCTTTTCATGCATTTCAGGTTTATATGCCTATTTTAGTGCACAGTCTTTGTTTTTTTAAGTGCGTATTTTTCTCCGGTCTATTTTATTAAGTTTTGAGGATTTTTTGTTTTTACAACCTGGTTAAAAACATTTTAAATTAAATTTATGCTTTATTGTTTGTAGGAATGAGTAGTTACCTTTACTGAAAAGGCTTTTCGTTTATATCCTAGCCTAACATTTCTATGACATACAAAGTTATTAGGACTGAATTGATGTTTAAAAGTGCCATTAATTCATTTACCCCAAATGTTCATTAACAATGTAAATGTATGCTGATGTTCTATGAGACAAGGAAGTGACTAATGACTCTTCCAACTAACAACACTTAAAATGAATAGAAACTTTAGATAGCTAATCTTGAAGTAATCAAGACCCTCATTCAGCTTGGCATCTCTGTATGCTCTAAAACAGCTGTCAACTGTTAAAAATATATACAAAACACACATACGCACATGCACATGCAGAAAAAGAGATATGTAAATATGTAGTTCTTCAAAGCCCTAAAGGTTACTAACCGTGGTAGGTTTTGTGCATTGTATATGTAAATATTTTACATAAAGCATCTATTTCGTCTCCTTAGGTTTTCTTTTTTGCAGGGGGGAAAAATAAACGTGTGTTGCATTTAAATGGATTTGTCCTATTCATTTGAAGAATCATCACCTTTCTAGTATGTTTATTTATATTAATATATATGCTTTCATGGAGGCCTCAATATATTTTCCACCTTGTACATATTTTTCCCAAAGGGGAATTTGTGGTAACTGGATGATTCATTTTGTAAGTAATCAAACACTGGACTTAATTAGTGGTTTCCCTCTTTAAAAGTCATCTGTTGTTTCCCCCCCACCCCCCAGTAAACTGGTGAGGTTTTAATTTCTCACATTTGAATTTTGACATTTATAAAGAAATATGACATTACCGAGTTAAATGATTCTGAATGCTCTGAAAATGTACCAGCAAAAACAGCCACATTACACAGAGGACAGGAACTGTTTTTCATGTGTTTATTTTCCTGGGAGTCTGAGGCAGGTCAGTAGCTGAAAGAGGGCATAAAAAGAACTGCTTTGTTTATATCTATATATATATTTATATTTATCTATATATGCAAAAGGCTCATGTGAATTGAATTTTTAGCAGTTTCAATTTTTTTCCCCCCAAAAGGAAGAAACATGGAAAATATGACATTTTCCTATGTGTTCTATTTAGTCTCATACCATATATTTAATTGGGCAGATCTTAAATTTTGGGATCTTTGATCAAAGCATATTAGTATTTGAAAGGCTTCCTGTAATTCAGTTGAAGCCATAAAAAAGAAAAAAAAAGCATTCAACTTCTTATGATTATTCATTCTGAATATTTGTGACTTCTAATAATTAAATGAAAAAGTAATAATTTTATTTTAAACTGAAAATGGTATCAAGATTTAGGAAGCTTAATCTGTTAGTAAAATAATGTTATCAGAACTACCAGTTATTTTCACAGGCTTATAAGAGATTAAAATGTTGATCATGATGAAAGAACATTTTTCTGTATTTCATCTCTTTTGAGAATAGCGTTTTGTTACATATTGCCAGAATTTTTAGCTTCAATTTTATATGCTCTTTTCACTTACAGCCTTTACAGTATTCAGATAATTACTTAATGTATCTTTGTCTTTTTATAACATATCTGTTTCAAAGCTTTTTTCTACATGTATAAAATATTTAGTAACCTACTTAAAAAATGACACATTCAGAAAAATCCTGCCTACCCCAGTTTTGTCTTAAACTTTTTCCCCCCAGATCTCTGTTTCTTTGTCTTATCATCTAGAGTTCTATTAAAGATACTTGTTTTTTTTATTGAGAAATTGGTAATAATTAAAATCATTCACTGAAGTTGATGTAGTAAGACAGTAGTGTTCTAGTATGCTATTTAGTATCGTTTTCCATGTAGTAGATTTATATTTGAGCAAAACATGAATTATTTCTGCTGAAGATATCTGACCATAGTATAGGAAGCTATCTTACTTCTCTTTATTTTATGTATTTGCCTTTATTTTCCTTAAGGCAATATTGATGTATTTCACACTTCTTCAAAACTGTGCCACACCATATCCCCATAGTGCTGAGATCCCTTCACTCATGTCTGTCAACACCCCATACTCTTTGTGGTCTCTATCCTCTCTTGTTCTGGCAACCTCTGTTTAGTTCAAATCCGAAGATTAGGGTTTGATGTTGTCAATTCCCCTTGTTTCTTTGTATGTCATGTATGGGTGAGATCACTATGTATTTTATTCTTTTTGACTTAAGTAGTTTAGAATTCCATACTTTTACTTTATATATGTTGTCATATGTGGCAAGATTATTTTTCTTATAACTAGAGTAGTATTCCTCTGTGTGTGTGTATCACATATTGTGTATCTACTCATTTTTCATTGAACACTTGAACACTTTCCATAACTTGTAAAGGTAATAGAACTGCCTTAGGATTCCCTATGACCCTTCAAATTAATGTTATAGTTTTTGGATGGATCCTAGGATAGAAGTTGCTGGATCATTGTTTTTCCTGATTTGAATACATCTTTATCACTTTTCATTTTCATTTTTCATTTAAGACTTTTCATTTAGAATTTTATTTTATCATATGTCTTTTTCATTTAAGACTTTATCATAGCCTTTTTCAGTTCTATGCAGTGCCTTTGGGCTGTTGATTCCGGTCTAATTCTATATTTTATACTTTAAAAGATGTTTTTTAATGATGCACCATGATTTAGAAGGTTATTCATGATTGAAAATCAGGTATGTAACAGTCTTCCAACACCAGTCCCTTCACTAGCTTCCCCTTCTCTCCAGCAGTGTCCTCAGTTTCCCTCCCGCCATCTAGCCTACTGCTCTAGGCTCTTTAAAAAATGTTCTTTTTCTTTCAGGCAGTGTGGTTTACCATACTGGTCCTGACAGCATGTCATATATAACACCTTATCACCTTCCAGCACCAGCTCCTGCTCCAGTGTGACCACTTTTCTCCCCCTTTGTCGCACTGTTCCTCTCCCTGTCTTACTGCTCCCCCCCCACCCCCGCACCCTG